ATATTTTTAAAAGTAAATTTATGCTTTATGTAAAAATTTCAAATAAATATTCAATAAAGATAGAGGCATAGCCTTACCATTAATATTAAAAAAAATATATATATATTATTAAAGAAAAATCTGCAATTTTAAAAAATAGATTACTATAAAATTCATAATATATTTTTAAAATCAAGAATTTTTTTTGATAAAACTCATATTTTATTAACTATTACTAAGACTTGCTTTGTAGGTTAAAACCTGATTGATTATTAGCAATTTGATATTTTTTTGAATGCAAAATAAACAGAGAATATCTCTCAATTGCATTATATACAAATGCTAATAACTCTTACAAAATAGTCTTTTTTATAATTAGCAAATATGCTAAACTATGCTGTTTTAAAAATATTAATCTTAAAAATTTAGTTGTAATTTATAAAAATAGTATCAAAGCATAGATGATTACTTCTCTCTTTCAAGTGTGGCTCAAAGAGTTTGATCAACAAGTTGGTTTAAAGTATTAGAATCAATACATGCTACTGGTTTTCAACAATTGTTCAAATTATAAGTTGAATGGTCTTACTTTACAATTCACTAATATTGTTGTTTTTTTTGAAGAGTAACCTTTAGAATTTAGCTACTGAATGCCAGAATTTTAATGATCTTTGAAAGATATTACTGTTACCTTTATGTTTATAAGACTAATTTTTTTTTTTATAAATTAGATTAGTAGGTTTTAAATATATATATATATTTTTTTAAAAAAAAGCTAAATATTAAAGCATATAAAAAATGGTAAGTGTGCTAATAAGCTAAAAATAGATGTACTGCAACTATATGTTTTGTTATTCAAGGCTGGGATGAAGTTACTGCTAAAACAATTCATAACTGCTAGTATTATACAAATATTCTTTCTATTGATACTAATGCAGAGTTGTATAGTTTTACAGATAACATTTACCAGATTAAGAATTTGACACTCAATAATCTTACTAATGCACTTAAAGACCTTTGTATATTTTACTAACCCAATGCCAGTTGAAGACTTTCTTTCTATTTTTAATGAAGATATTATCTATAAAGTTCTTAGAGATAACCAAGTTATTGAACAGCTTATAGAAACATTTAAGCATATCAATTTAACTTACAATAATTCAGAGAAAGATAATAGTATTAAAATTCTTCTAATTAGCATTAATGTAGCACTTATAAGCTTGAAAACTGTATATATGTTTTTGCTTTAACAAAATAAAAGAGTAGATAAATATGTTAAAATCATGAAAAAGTTAAAAAATTTTTTTTTAAAAAAAACAAATTAGTTTTAGAAAATAAAATTAATTTTTTTTTTTTTTTTTGGTATTAAGGTGAGGTTTTGCCTTTATCTTTATTAATAATTTGTTATGGGCAACTACATG